CAGAAAAAAAAAGTCAGAACAGAAGATATAATCCACACGAAACTATATTTCCTATACTACACTACAGTCCACTTACCACTCCACAACTTGCTTTGTCACATGTAGGAAATATATATTTGAATTCTAGAAGAATATACAAAAGCTATATTAATAGTTGTTATTAATTATTATTAAATTACTAATAATTAACATTATTAAATGGCTACTTCTAAAGACTGGGCAAAGGATAAGCAAAAGAAAGGGAATACTTGCTTTCTCTTCTCTGAATTTTTTTACCATGAGTATAATTATAGTTATAATTTTTTAAAAAGATGATGCTGACATTGGGGAACTTTATGCCTTCAAGAAAATTATTGATCTTCTTTGCATTGTCATTATAGGTGGGTACCAGTAACTGGGTCTTTTTGGAGTGCAGAAAGATTTGCCCCTGCCCTATAGCTTCTGCTGCTGCATTACTGAGACAGAAACAGCAAGAGGGAAAGACAGAGACAGGCAAAGAGACGGAGACAGAGGACTGCAAACACCTGTCCAGCCCCAGCCAGCTTTGCAGAGGTCCTGGGGGTCTGTCCCATCACAGGACCTCTGAAGGTGCTCAGAGCTAACAGCGCATAGCACAGATGGGCACTTCTCCAAGTTTGCGGCCCTCATGGATATAGGAGGCAGTGCCCTTGCGCCTACTGCCTGCAGTCCCACAACTCCCACCCCACCCAGTGCCAGCCCCACAGGAACTCAGCTTCTTCGGACCTACTATAGCCGTAAGGCCTTTAGCAGCCCCAGATCCCATTAGGAAGCACTTATGCCTAATTTGAGCTGAGGGCTTTGGAGCCACCATGAGCTATGCCAGGCACTTGGGGTATATTTTCATATAATCTGGACATCACCCCTGTAGGTTATATACTCTCCTGATGACACAGTGGCCACCCAAGGCCACACAGCCATAAAGCAGAAGGGCATGGAGCCCTAGACTTATGAGTCACACACAGCCCGTGCAAGATCCCGCCCCTGTGATTGCAGTCACTTGAGCCAAGTGGAAGACAAGGTCAGACCTTTAACTGCTTTCATTCTTGAGATGAAAATCCATAGGATACTCTGCTGTCAGACACTTGCAGCCATAGCTCAAGGCCCCAGAGGTGGACATGGGCCTGGAGCCCAATCTGTAATCCCTGCCCTGGGAATTCCCTTTGACGTTCCTCTCCCCGTGGCCTACACCCCAGGCTGGCAGATGCTTAAGGAGCACTGTTCACCTCCAGATATTTTGTCCTTATTCTCCCCTGTTGGAAAAAAGCGCACCCTTCCCCTGGTCAGGGCAGGCTGCTCATACAGAGTGCAATGGCTTTCCAACCCCACAGCAAGTCCTACAGTGATCTGTAAAGTCCAAAAGTTGAAGTCAGCATCTTGAATAACTTCAAGCACAAACCAAGCATTAGGCTGCCCTTCACTGTACCCTCCTTACCCCCACCACATTCTATATTGCAGCTTCCAGAGAAATATGACATGACAGGGGAACTCAACAAAGACTGAGTCATCAGCACGTGCCAGTGTTACACACAGAGGTGAACCCTTAATGTCACCATGCTAGGCATGTACATAGATTCTCTCTCTCCATGCTCACAACATTCTGAAGGGTGGTATTATTTTTATTCCCAATTTAGAATTGCCCAAAAGGATTTTTGGCAATAATGCACTCAAAACTCCATGTCTGGAAAATAAGAAAGCCAAGAGTCAACCACAAAGCCTAACATTTTACCACTGTAACCTCTGACGCAGCTCCAACGTACCTCCAACACACATCAAAATGAACGGACACAAGACCCAGTTTTACTGTCACAAAAACTTCCATACTAAGCACTCCTCTTTCTCAAATTCAAAATTAAACCTCTTTTCGGGTTCAATGCTTCCCATCTCAAAAGTTTTATTACCTTTGGATCTATTTTCTCTTGAATTATTAACACACTGATTATCTGACAATAAACTCCCTAAATAATATGAGTAAAGGACATAAGCTTGGAAATAAGGCATCATGAAAAAGGTGTTACCCATCATCCCACCTCATTTCTCAGTAGAAAAACTGATGGTGAAACCAACCAGCAGCTAATGGAAGCATAATATTCCAATAGTGGGAGTTATTGCAAAAAAAAACTCTGCAGAAAGGGTGGCTCTTCGAGCTACTATTAGATGTTGAGGACGACTTTGGTTACTGGGCACTTTGCACACAAAATGAGAAAGATTCAAAGAACATGTCCCGACTATGTGAATGAGCATGGTATGCGGGACACTTCGAACAAAGCAATGAGACCTTTTAGAAGGAGGGGGTCTAAATTCCACGGGTACCTTCATCAGTTTGCAGCAGCATTTCTCAATCATCTTTTCATAAAATAATTAATGGTGTAAAGATTAAGACTCAATGGTTTTCCCTCGTGGGTCATGGGGCTGAGGTGTGTAGTGGCCACTGTCACAACTGGTGGCTTTCCTCAGCCCACTTGCCCAGTTGTGCACAAGAAAGGCTTTGTTATAGGAATTAGCCTCCAGCCCGAGGGCCTTGAGCTCTGAGAGGCACTTCACGGTAGCAATGCTATTGCCATAGTTACCAGGCCCTCTGCAGTCCGTTTCTGCACCTCACCACAAAAACCTCCCGGAATAATACAACTGAAAGTGGGCCCACATGCTAGTTAGCTAGCCTGGATTATTAGTTGTTGATGTCAAATTTTTTTTTTAATTATTTTGGAAAAAGAAATACATCAGTGAGATTTTGGAAAGCCACCTGCAATAGCTAAGCCATCTGGATTTTTAAACTAAACACACAGTCCACCAGAGAAAAATAGGGTGCTTTCCAGATTACAGGTATTGCTTGAAAACAGTTTTCTTGGTTTTTATTCACTTGGTTTCTGTTGGTTTTATTCCTGGATTAAAAACCATCTTGACCCTCTGACCCTGGAGAATAATACGTCTCGGTTCTGGGATTCGAGGGCACTGTGAACGCGTGGGGTCTTGCCAACACAGACAGGCGCCCAGCTTGGTTTGGTAAATGGAAATTATGTCTTTACATAAATGCCTTTATGTTATGTCTATTTCATGTGTTGGTGGGAACTCATGATGAGTTATTTCAATAAGGATATAAACACGCCTCTTCAAGCATGTATTACTGATACAGTAAGGTAAAAATAGTAGCAACTAACTAAAAACCATAAGGTATATTTCGCAGGTATAACTTCTTTCCCAGAGAAGAGAATTATTTAAGGTGAAGCAAGGATGTAGCACACTGGGCCCTAGAGGAAAGCAAAAGTGCGGGAGGTGCCAGTGGGCGGAGGGGAGGGGTGCACAGTCGGCGTCACCTGAGTAGCCCCAGCACCCCCCCGGGAGCACCAAGCTCGACAAGCACAGTACATGCAGAAGGAAGTGGCCAGCTCCGTGTGGCCTCCAGGGTCTCAGCTGTCATTCTGTAGGTAAGGTCAACTCAACCTACATAAAGATCAAATGACACCGAGGTAGTTATTATTTACCTCAGAATTTTACAAGACCTAAAAGGCCTGAGGGCAATTGAACCATGCCAAGAGGGAAAATTGTGTACTTTTTTCTGCCCAATTACGATTCAAAGATAAGTGGCCATCAAGGAGCTGTATCATAGCAGTTAAGAGCACCAGCTTTAAAGTCAGGCAGAGCAGGGGTCAAATCCCAGCACGCTGGTGGCCTTGAGGACTTAGGCAAGCCACGTGATGCTCAAAGTGGGGATGATGATAGCACTTTATGCCTTGATGAGATACTGCAGGAAAAGTACATGACACAGGCTTGAGACATAGGAAACATTCAATACGTGGTAGCTATAGTAATAATGTGAGAGAGGAAGGGATGGAGCCAGAGAAGGGAGGGAAGGAGGAACCCTGAGCAGGAGGAAGAGAGGGGGAGGAGGGACAGAGGATCAGAAAGGGGCGTTGCGGCGTACCCACAGCGCTCCCCAGGACCTGCTGGGTGCGCATAGGGACAGAGAAGAGCAGCTGAGGCTTTTAGTAAGGAATGACCTGACTCCGACATGAGTGTATTCATGACCCTCGAAAGATCTCTTTAAGTTCCAGAATTTACTATTCGGCCTGCCTTCCAGAACACATAGGTTCACTTTTTTGCCTACAACTGACCCAAGGAAAGGATTCCCCCAGCTCCCTCCCACTTACCCAGGAGGACCACAGAGGAGACAACGAGGCTCCTGTCTGAGGTGGCCTCTGAGGCCCTCGGGCCGCCTGCCATTCTCCCTTCTCGTTCTCTGCAAGCACTCGTGTTCCTGCACCCATTCTCCAGAGCAAAGTCAGGAAGGGGGCCTCAGAGGACGGGTTGTTAATCAGAATTACCGGGGTCCACCAAACCACCTTCCGCATCCTAAAATTGGGTATTGGCTGAACTTGTAGCTGCCTGACACACAGGTCACCTGCTGCCATTGGCAACATGTGTCAGCTTCAGGCCTGGGCCCGGGAGGCAGGGGTGGACGGTACGGGTGAAATAAGGTTTGGCAAACAACGCTGCCCAGATCTCGTAATCTTCTGCTGAGGCATTTCACGAGAGTATTTTAAGCTAAGAATCAGGGTTATTTCCCTGATTCCAAGAGCAGAAGCTTGGCATTTTAGGAATTTGAAATGGCAGATCCAGCCCAGAGCACACGTGTGTGTGTGTGTGTGTGTGTGTGTGTGTGTGTGTGTGTGTGTGTGTGAGAGAGAGAGAGAGAGAGAGAGAGAGAGAGAGAGAGAGAGAGAGAGAGAGAGCTAAGCACTCAAAATACTATTTACAGGTTGTTAGAGACCCACTCTCACTTTCACATACACCAAACCTTTTAGACAATAAAGATCAAGATGGGCCAGGCTAATAAAGAACAGCATGCGTTCACAGCCCCCAGCACAGCCTCTCGAGCAGGTGTGCAGGCACGCACAGTGGCAGTGCCTGGGGGCTGCCAAAGTGGGTGAGGAGCTCATAACCTTCAAGCTTTTCAAGGTGCCCCTGAAACAAGAGACACTCACCTACTGAAAGGTGTCCCTGAGAGCACCGTGAGACCACCATCCCTGGCATCTCCCAGGCTCTGCGCCACGTCTTCTCACCCAAGGCTCCTGTAGCCCTGGCTTGTTCTGCCTGCCAGTTGTTGCTGCTTTTCAGGCCCGGCTCCTCGATGCTTGGGCACCCCAAGTGCTGGGAGCCTCTTCATCCACAGCCTCTGTGCCATCCAGCATAACTCCCAGCTGCCTCTGTGTTCCCAGAACAAGGTAGTCCAGTATTATCATGAGGCACAAGGTCTGAGATCTAGTGCTACTTACCCTTCAGGCATATTAATCATGGCTTGTTTTCTGTATTCTGTGGCTTTGACAACTGCAGCCCCTCCCAGGGCCAGCCAGTCCCTACAGATAGTAAAAGACTTTGCTATCAAGTGCAAACCAGCAGGTCCAAAGCTCACAGTCCTGATCACTTCCTGTTACACTCCAGGCCGTTGTCCCCTAATCACCCCAGGGCCACGTCCCAAACCATCAGGGACAGTGCGCATACCCCAGAGCCTGCTAACATTATACACACCAGCCCACCCCAAGCCTGCTCCCCCTGCCTCGGCTATTCTTTCCCATGAGAACCACAATAAAGGCTCCTGCACACATTTCCTATTTTCAGAACCCATAAAATTTACTGGTTTAAACTGTCCAATCCTGTGGTTTCAATTGTATTTGGAGTTGTGCAAACATCCCCACTATCTACTTCCAGAACATTTTCTTTATCCACAACACCCTCTTCTCCACAAAGACACAACCATTAGTGGTCACTCACTGCTGCACCACTCCCCAGCTCCTGGCAACCACTCACCTACTTCCCTTCCCTGAACTCGCATTTTCTGGACATTTCTTATAAATGCAGTCATGCAATATGTGGCCTTCTGTGTCTGGCCTCTTTCAATTAGCATAATGTTTTTAAGGTTCTGCCATGTCATAGCTGTGTCTGTGTTCCATTCCTTGTTATAGAGGAATAGCATTCCATTGTATAGATATACTACAATTTGTTTACCCATTCATTAGTTGATGGACTTTTGGGTTATTTCCACTCTTTGGCTAGGGTGCATAATGCTGCTGTGAACATTCACGTACATGCTTTGTGTGGACATACATTTTCACGTCTCTGCGGGGTATACCTAGGAGGGGAATTTCTAGGTCATATAGTGGCTCTACAATCAGTCTTTGCAGAGGATTTTGTTTCAAATCCAGTGGTTGGGGGAGGCGTTGTTAATAACATGCCATTGAGCTGACATCTGAAGGATGTGATCTAAACAAGCCACACATGGGGATGGGGAAAGGGCCGACGGCACAGGGAAGATCAAAGATAAGAACACACCTGCCAGGCCTGAGGAACAGTGTCAGCCTTCTGCCCTGTGATGCAGCGCCCAGCATTGGATGAATCCACAGAATTCAAGTAAAATACAGTGACCAACACTGAGTGTGAGGTTTCTGCACCCCTTAACTCATTTATCACTGACAACAACTGCCAAGAAGGCATTATCTCACCGGTTTTACAGATGAGAAAACAGGCATAGAGAAGTAGTGTGACCTGCCATGACCCACCAAAGGGCACACGTGCCAGTAACAGAACCAAAACCAAAGCAAGGTTGCCTGACCCCAGGTCCATGCTCATAGCTGCTATGCTGTCACGTCTGCCTGTGCTTTGGCACAGCCAGAAAAACTTGGGGCCAGACCTTATGCAAGATTTTTATGCATAAAGTATGTGTATGAATCATGAAGGGAGAAAACAATGGTTTGGGGATTGGGTTGGGTTTTTTTTTAATACTGAGAAGCAGAGAAAGAACAGGATTGACCTGATGCCTATAAATTTCTGTTTTGAAAATAACTTTTAACCCAGAGCTACATTCTGACTCTGACAATTTCACGTCATGGGTGCCCAACAGTGGGAATGGACAGTGGCCCAGGGCCTTGGGACAGAGCCCTGGAGACCCCCTCAGGGGTGGGTGCTCAGCCTGTAGCTGCCAGATGATGGGCCAGTGGAGAGGAGGGTGTCCCAGGAGAAGAAATCATGCCACAGGTCAGTTACCTGATACAGACAGACTGGGGGTCCAGGGGGCAATCCGCCCCAGCCAGCCATCTCACCGAGGTGCTGACTGTCACCTGGACCCCACAAGCAGCCCCTCTTCTGTCCTCCACGTCCCCTGGGCAGAGGTGGATGGATGGAATATGAAAGAGCCCTGAATCTGAGGGAGGGAAGGGAATGGCGGGGTGCAGCAGGCATGAAGTCTGAGTTAGCTGAACTCGCTGGACTTGGGAACAGCCGGCAGAGGGGCCGGAGATGATTGAACAAGTCGTGGGACAAACTGGCTGGAACTGGGCCAACCCAAGATGGCACCCAGCTTGACCGGGAATAGACCTCTAACTTCATTAAGATCTCACTTAACTAGTAAAATAACATCCAAGACAGTTTACAGTTGTCATGAAACCCTGAAAGGGACCTAATGTCTCACCTGAGGGTTTCAGCCCCAGGCAAGCCTACTCTGAATTTGGTGGGACATAATAACAACAATGGAACTTCAGGGGTAAAAAGGGGCTCATACCAAGCTTTATTCTCACAGCAGCAGGTCAGGTGTTAGAATCATGTCTGCGCCCAGCAGTCTACAAGCAGCAAGCATGTCTCTGCCTCTGCCTCAGGCTCAGCCTCCGCCCCAAGCTCTGCCCTCGCCCCCAGCCTCTGCTCCCCTCTCCTGCTCCCCTGCGCTTTCCTCTAAGCTCTGCTCTGAGCACCCGAGGGGACTCTTCTTAGAGCAGCACTGACAATAATAGCTCATTGCCAATGGGTACACGAGCAGGAGCCTGCCCAGTGGGCCAAGTATGACATCACTGCTCGTGCACAGTGGGTATATTAGATGGGGTCAGATGAGGACCCTGGCCCTGGAACTTCCATTTCCCCTGCACCTAATAAGGAAAACCAATCCCTTTTCCAAGAATTCCCCCAGAGAAATCATGACTATTCTGCCCCCTGCTTTACACGCTCATTGTCCTTCCAACAAAGAGCCAGCAGACCACTGAGGGGAGCTGCCCTACCTAAGGGAGAGAGACCACTTCGAGCCACTGAATGTCCCATACCTTCCACCTCTTAATAAATCTGCCTGTTCTGCACATGGTTTGCATTTTATTTCTATCCTGTGAGTAGCCACTTCTCCTGCAACAGAGCCCCACAAAGTTCTCTTTTTCTTCAAAGATTCCCACAGCTGAAGACAAGACCTCAGAATAGCCACAAACATTGATGGAGAGTTATTTATTCTGTATCACTAATGATTCTGTAACATCTTCCTATGTTGACAGATAGTAACTGCACCAGTAGGGGTGAGGATTTAATAATATGGGTAACTGTGGAACCACTGTAGTGTATACTTGAAACCAATATAAGATGGTGTATCAATGATACTTGAACACAAAATAAATAAATAAAAGTTATTTATTCTGTTGACACATGGGGAGCCAGATAATTCATCTCAACTTCTCCCAAACTGGCAATTCATGATGAGACAAATGACAAAACGTTGAGAACATGGGAAATGAAGGTAAATTTTTTAAATCCAGATGATGATTCTTTTATTTTTAACAGCAAATGACTTGACAAAATGGTCAGTATCCTAGAGTTACGGGCTTACTCCTGGACATTTCTTTAGCAGGATCTGACTTAATTCGGTCACCAGAGAGCCTCTGCTGATTCCACAGAGGCTCTCTGGAGAATATAAGGATCCTCATGCAAATTAAATTGCTTTAGCTGTTTGGGAGGGCAGCCACAAATAGAAATAACCAACCTGGCCTTTGGAGTCAGAGGGCTTGAATGCCAGCTCTCCAGCTTACTAGCTGTGTGCTCCTAGGCAGGCTACGTAATTTTTCTGTTTCTCTATTTCCCTAGCTAGAAATATAATTATATAAAAACAATCCTTAAGTCTTATGGTCGTTAGAAGGATCACATAAGACAATAAATGAAAAATCTTTTAAAGCATATCTGGCACTTAGTAAATAGTCAAAGATTAGTTCCCATTTTTGACCAAGAAATTCATTTAATGCTTAAGCTCAAGCCACTGTGCTCTGGGCCATGAAGATGAATGACATGCAAATTCTGTCCTCAAAAACCTACTATTTACATTCCACTGCTTGGTATCTGCTCAAGAGAAGTAAAAACGTCTGTGCACAAAAAGATGTGTCCAACAACATTCATGGCACATTTATTCAAAATAGCCAAACACTGGAAATGACTAAATGTCCATCAACTGAAGTATGAATAAACAAACTGATAATTCCATACTCAGCAATGAAAAAAAAACTACAGATACTAGCACCAGCATGGGTGAGGCCAAAACATTTCAAGGAGGGAAGGAAGTCAGACAAAAAACGAATAGTTGTTTCACTCATTTATAAGATGTTCTAAAGAAAAGGAAATCTGTTGTGTTAGAAAACAAAGTAGAGGGGACTGGGAACGGGGCAAAGGGGAGAGATCAGCTAGCAGAGGAGTACAGGGAACTTTATGAGGTGAGGGTGTTGGTTACATAAACACACACATTTGTCAAACTTCATTAAGCTGCACACTGAAAACAGGGACCGTGGCACAATAAGAAATATATCTGGTGCTCACTTTGGCACCACATATACTAAAAGAAATCCTTCCATTTGCACCAACATGGATTGATCTAGAGGGTGTTATGCTCAATGAAATAAGCCAGGCAGAGAAAGACAAATACCATATGATTTCACTTATTTGTGGAATATAAACACAAAGCAAAACAGAAGGAACAAAGTAACAGTAGACTCAGACACTGAGAAGGTACTAGTGGTTACCATGGGGGAGGGGTTGGAGCAGGTGGGGAGGGGAGGGGATAAAGGGGCACAACAATTTGCAATCACAATATAAGTTGGTCACAGGACATAGTACATCATGAAGAATACTATCGGTGATTTTGTAACATCATTCCACGTTGATAGTAACCGCACTAAAGGAGGTGAGGACTTGATAATGTGGGTAACTGTTGAATCCCTATGTTGTACATTTGAAAGTAACATAAGATTGTATGTCAATGATACTTTAATTTTTAAAAAAAAGAAAACCGTTAAAACTTTAAAAAGGAAAACAAAAAATTTTTTTTTCTGTTCTTCAACTGCACATTTGTTAAATGAGACACACACAAAAAAAACAACTATGAAAGACAAATTGGTCATTTGGCTGTTATAATTATGAACTCACAGGGATCAAAGTACAGCGTGAGGGAAACAGCCAATAGTGCTGTCTTATCTCCATACATTTGACAAATGGTAACTGCACTTTGGGGGTGAGCACTGAATGAGGTAGA